AAAAAAAAAAAAAAAGAATACACAAACAAAGAGAAGAGGAGAGGAAAGTGGGAAAGGGGAAGGGGATATGAAGAAATCACTATATCATTAAAGAGGTGATATTGTTTTGGATGATATTTTGCTTTATTTGCAGTTATAAATAATTGAACTCACCTCTGGAGATTTTTCCTTAGGAGATCATGGAACAGATGCACAAATCCACATGCCCAGGGTTGTGAATTCTAGCAGTTTCCAATGGCAAACATTGGGAACACTTCAATTGCCCATCAACAGAAAATTGGTCAAATAAGTTGTGAAGCATCCCTATTCTATGTTCAAATTATTTTTCTGCATCAATGCATTTGAGCAATTAGAAATACTCAGTATTATCAGTGGCTGGGCCAGAGTACCACTTGTTGATGGAACTAGAGGTGCCAGAAGATGTGTAAGACAGGATCTCCATCCTCACCCTGGGCATTTTTGCTACTCCCCCAGCCCCTGCTTCCCCAACACGTTTAAGAATCTGGGATGTAGCTGGGAGCAGTGGTTCACGCCTGTAATCCCAGCACTTTGGGAGGCTGAGAGGAGCGGATCACTTGAGGTCAGGACTTCAAGACCAGCCTGGCCAACATGCTGAAATCCCCTATTAAAAATATAAAACTTAGCTAGGCGTTGTGGTGGGTGCCTGTAATCCTAGCTACTCAGGAGACTGAGGCAGGAGAATCACTTGAACCCGGGAGGCAGAGGTTGCAGTCAGCTGAGATTGTGCCACTGTACTCTAGCCTTGGCAACAGAACGAGATTCTGTCTCAAAAAAAAAAAAAGAATCTGGGATTGTGAGTGATGGAATGTCATGCTGTCATGAAAAATGGTAACATTGCTTTATACTCACTCACATGGAGTTCAGTACACCACATATGGTTGAATAATAATCAGGCTGCTTATAGAGTAGCATGCCTAGTGTGATCTCATGGATGTGAGACTATCAGTGTCAAAACAGTCCTCAGAGGTCAACAGTTGTTTCCTTTGGGTGCTAGGGTTTGGGGTGTTTTACTTTTTTACTTCTGTTTTCTGAATTTTTAGAATATTTCTAAAATGAAACTACATTGCTATTATAACCAGAAAAAGAAATAAAGAAAAAAGCATTTACACTGATAATTAAATATGTAAAAACAAGGCTAACTAGGAGTCAAGTCCAGTTACAAGAAATGTCTCTACCTTACAAATAGGTTTTGGTGCCTGAAGCCTTAGCCTATACATCATAAGCAAGTCACTGCAATGAAATTTCAAGGCAACAAAGGAATTTATATGGTCCCGTGATGTTCCCTCAGGTCACATTAAATAAATATTTGAAATCTCTTGCTTTCTATCATCTTTTCAGCTAGTGAATGTATTTCTTTTTTAAAAAAGAAGAGAAAAAAGGCAAACAGTCCTTTTCACAAAAACTACAAATGTGTCTTTTATAAAATAACCAACACAAGTGAAAATGGCCTAACATTAATTTTGAAATGCAGGAAAAGGGAAATAATGGGTTTTTGCCATGTGAATATATAAACAAGATCAAGGATATTAACAGGAAAACATGTTTCACACAATTATCCGTACCTTCTCCATTAAAATATTATTTCTAAGCAGAACGCACAAAACAAACTGCTCCGTTCAAAATATTTTACTTTCGATTCACAATTTGATTTTTATAATGAAAAATGAAATTTAAAAAGCCAAGGAGGAGCAGGGGAAATAACAACACAGTATGAGAAACAAAAGACAACGCACTGCAACTTGACTTTATATTTCGTAGAGTTGACGAATTTGCTCTGCACAGAAAATAAAAACTTATCTCACGCCAAATGAAGAAATGCCAAATGAAATGGACAAAATGTCAAATGTGAGAAGAGAGTGGACTGAGGGGCATGAGGACAGAGATACATGGGGAAGAGTTTCATAAATATGTCTGCTTGGTAAAATAGATGTTAGACGGCGTCTTACCCAGCAACTAAGACGTATTTCCCATCTGCTTGGTCCTTTAACCTCTCCAGCACGGACAAACGTACTTTGGCTTTGCTTTTGCCATAGATTTCAATTTCATCTGCAAGCAATCCAATCTCCTTGGCAAGGACATCCACAGCTTTTGGAGTTTGTGCTCTTGAAATCTCAATGTCACTGAGGGGAAAGACAACATAAAAGAGGCAAGAGGCGTCTCAGCTTAGGTGGTCGCAACTGGAGTAAAAACAGCCACACATCCCGCCAACAATGAAATCAATGCAATTGCTTTGGGGTCCTTTCTCCCAGGCAGTAATAAAGCACAACTGCTAACAATTAATGTGTATGAGAAAATGGTGCATCATTTTAGAAACGCAACTCCAAAAAATTCACAAAGATCCTAGAATTGTGTCCAGGTGGAAGCATAACACCTCTGCCATACAGAGAAGAATTTTATATGATAATGTGTCCAAAGGCGTCCTGCAAGTGCAATTCCACTGCAGGGTAAAATGCTCTGTGTGGGCCGTCACGTATTCGTTAGCCATGAATAGAGGGCCATCGCATAACCATCTCCTATTGGGCTGGCCACATGTTTCTCTTGGCTTTTCAAAAATGTGGACATTACTATCACACTGGAGATTAAGTACAAAAAAGAAGAAAAGAAAAAATGTGGAAATGCTATTTCATCTGAGTCCACACTTCCCCTTCTCTTTTCTATTTACAGTCTAAAATCATATTTCAAAATATTGAATTAATTATATAACTGTCGGTAAAAGGGCCTAGGGAACTGAGCCCAAGTTCAGACAGAAAATTGTAGGAGCTCCAGAGTGTCTGTCACTGGGCAGTAACTGAACTCTTCTATTTTACTGGCCACGCCTGCTCATCTTACAGAAGTGGTCTGGATACCAGCATGTGCAGCGCTGGACTCTTCAGGAAGGACCCCTCTGGGGCTCATGTGCTCAGTCATTTCTTTGCTGGGGAGTCAGGGCATTCATGTGTCTGACTGTGCGTGAGTGAGAGACGGAAGGCACACCTGTTCCCCCTGCAGCAAAACTAACCCAGGGAGAGCAGGCAGCAGTGAACCGCTCTTAAATGTGGCATCAGAGATGACAGCTATTCCTTGACTTACCCCAGAATAATTATTTGTGTTGTGATCTGCCTCCTTGCAGTGGGCAGATAACACCCTCAGCGGACTTTAGTCAGTCCCTTGGCCCTGATTTTTCTGTAGCTACTGCGAACAATTTACCCACAGTGTTGAGACCATCCTAGACTCTCCTCCAGGATCTTGTGGGGGTCTAACCTGGGGGTAAGAGGTAAAAGCAAATACACCTCTATCCAGACTTCTCCAAAGGGCAGCAGAGAAGCTGGGAGTTCAGATAATCCCCGTAAGGCCTGCCAAGTACTCCCTTCCAGGCCTCCACCCATCCAACCTTTCCTTTCTAGACTCCTACGCTGTTTTACCTTCCTATTACTTTTTTCTGTCTCTCTCTTCCCACAATCTCCTAAATTGAAGAGCTTAATCTTGGATAATGTGTAAGCTTTTAGCAGGATGCAGTGGCTCATGCCTGTAATCTCATCACTTTGGGAGACCAGGGCAGGAGGATCACTTGAGTCCAGGAGTTTGAGATCAGCCTGACCAACATAGCAAAATGCCATCTGTACTAAAAATACAAATAGGCCGGGCGCGGTGGCTCAAGCCTGTAATCCCAGCACTTTGGGAGGCCGAGGCGGGTGGATCACGAGGTCAAGAGATCGAGACCATCCTGGTCAACATGGTGAAACCCCGTCTCTACTAAAAATGCAAAAAATTAGCTGGGCATGGTGGCGCGTGCCTGTAATCCCAGCGACTCAGGAGGCTGAGGCAGGAGAATTGCCTGAACCCAGGAGGCGGAGGTTGCGGTGGGCCGAGATCGCGCCATTGCACTCCAGCCTGGGTAACAAGAGCGAAACTCCATCTCAAAAAAAAAAAAACAAATAAATTAGCCAGGTGTGGTGGTGCACACGTGTAGTCCCAGCTACCCGGGAGGCCAATGCAGGAGAATCACTTGAACCTGGGAGGCGGAGGTTGAGGTGAGCTGAGATCGCACCACTGCACACCAGCCTGGGTGGCAGAGCGAGACTGTCTCAAAAAACAAGCAAAAACAATACAGGCCAGGCATGGTGGCTCAAGCCTGTAAGCTCAGCACTTTGGGGGCACAAGGAGGGTGGATCACTTGAGGTCCAGAGTTCAAGACCAGGCTGGCCAACATGGTGAATCCCCGTCGCTGTTAAAAATATAAAAATTAGCCAGGTGTCCTCACTTGAACCCAGGAGGCAGAGGTTACAGTGAGCAGAGATCAAGCCACTGCACTCCAGCCTGGGCAACAGAGGAAGATCCTGTCACAAAGCAAAACAAAGGCCTGTAAAGTTTTCTCTTTACTAGCTAAAGAGTCCAGGTGGCGTCATCACGATTTTTTGGGTGATTTATAAACTACTTGACCTGCTTCTCTTTGCCCAGTGGGTCTAGAAATCAATGGTCTCAAAGTTTCAATGTAAATTCTTCTTGGGGGAGAAAAGGCTTTAATTATTTAAAGAATTCTTGGTTAAACGAGAAGAATTTACATTGAAACTTTGGTACACAATTTGATGGAATCTATTTTAATCCTTTTTAGCTCTTTTTAAGTAGAAATTACTGATTTACTTTTAAAAACTAAGGTCTCATAACAACATAAATAACTCTAAAATAAGATATTTAATAAAACAGATTGCACAAGTCCAGAGATGATATTACAAAGAATAGCATTCCTCATTGCAACTTGCGTAATTAATGAACAGAGAGCATAACTGAGATGTTGCATCCATTTCAGGGATGAAAACGTGGCCTGGAGGGTCGCACCCTCCGGGTGGGTAGAATCGAACCAGGGTGCTCATCTGACTGCCAAAGGAAACGAAGTTCAATTCTATAAAGCACCTGGTTATCAGGTAAAAAATAAGTCAGGCCCGACGCAGTGGCTCATGCCTGTAATCCCAGCACTTCGGGAAGCCAAGGTGGGTGGAATACCTGAGGTCAGGAGTTTGAACTAGCCTGACCAATATGGTAAAACCCCATCTCTACTAAACATACAAAAATTAGCCGGGTGTGGTGGTGTGTGCCTGTAGTCCTAGCTACTCAGGAGGCTGAGACAGGAGAATTGCTTGAACCTGGGATGTGGAGGTTGCAGTAAGCCACTTCACTCCAGCCTGGATGACAGAGCAAGACTCTGTCTCAAAAAAAGAAAGAAAAAAAAAAAAGAGTCACTTACTAGAGGAAATTTATCTCCTCAGCACTCTGTGCATTCCAACATTGCTGGATGAGATTACCTGGGGATGCACACCTGGCATTACGCATACCTGGATAACGGGGCTGGGGCCGATTCCATGGAGTGGGGCAGACAGAGATGACTCAGCATCAGGCTGGAAAAGGCGGCTCTCTGGCTCAGATGTCATCCCTACCCAATCAATTCTAAACCACATGCTGGCACTATGTTTATATTTCCAAACTTATAGCTAGAATATGTAGCTTAGACCTCATCAAAGAGCACTCTGAGGAAAATACCCACCTTGATGAACACAGACTATCCTGTCAGATTGTTCTGAAGAAAGCTGAGCTCAGTTCCCACGTGGAATGATGTTCGGTTTGAGTTCGGTCATTTATCCCCAGAGTAGAAACCTACATGGCCCTTAAGACCAAGTGGATATATATGTGCCAGGCATTTCTGACACTGAAAAGCACATTCCAAATATTACCATATTTTGTCACATTTAAAACCATTACTTAATGGATCACTAAGAAGAAAAAACACGGCCAGGCCGGGTGCAGTGACTTGCTTTGGGAGGCCGAGGTGGGCAGATCACCTGAGATCAGGAGTTCAAGACCAGCCTGACCAAGATGGCAAAACCCCAGTATCTACTAAAAATACAAAAATTAGCCAGGCATGGTGGCGTGCACCTGTAATCCCAGCTACTCGGGAGGCTGAGGCAGGAGAATTGCTTGAACCTGGGAGATTGCAGTGAGCTGAGACCATGCCTTTGCACTCCACTCTGGGCAACAGAGAAAGATTTCATCGCAGAAAAAAAAAAAGAAAAAGAAAAAATACTTTCATATAATATAGGAGACATCACTGAAATTAAATGAAAAACTATGCCTTCTTGGAAGTGACAGAACACAGTCAATAATACATTAATTACGATTTAATTTTGGAGAAGTTACAATAGAGAAAATAGGATGGCAATTTCATGAATAGAGAAAATTACCTACCATCAAAACCACAGAACCGTGAGCTGTGCTTTTCCCCTATGACTAACTGGATGGAATTCACCGTGCTGAACTGACTTTAGTGTAAATAAATCACCAGCGTTACCTTGGCACAGGGGACAGAGGCTGAAGTTTCAAGCAGTGAAGTCTCCACCGCCGGTGCTGCTGTTCACGAAGCCATCTCCTTCCACTACTGACCATATTCTTCAGCAAGGACAGAGAGGAAAACATGTTAGAATGGTAAGTGCTGACAGCGCACGCACTTAAAACATGGAAATATTGTTTATGGATGTTACAAAACGAGATTATAAAATTGCACAATAAGCCAAGGGGATATTAGGAATATTTTCATTCAACAGGGTTGTAGGTTTTTCCTAAAAAGGAAAATGTGAAAACCTGCATGGCTAGTTAGAATATATGACTATTAAATACTGTACTGAATAATTTGATAGTATTAAAAGAAACTGCTTTGTTTCTTAAATATGCACGCATGGACTTGATGATTCAGCTTAATTCTACAGTTCCCTTCAGATTATTAGCTCTTCATACTTACAGCAATGAATCTGAGAATATTTTTAAAGATTTATGTCCAGGGTTATTTCAAGTCACAAGCCAGAACTTCTGACCATGTCTATTATTTTTGTTAAATTTAAAAAAGAAAAACAGGAAAATGTGAGAAAATACACTATTAAAAAATACAGGTGTAAATACACCTATAATCCCAGCTACTGGGGAGGCTGAGGTGGGAGGATTATTTGAGCCCAGAATTTTGAGGCTACAGCGAGCCATAATCACACCACTGAACACCAGTCTAGCTGAGATTTTGTCTTTTTAAAAATAAATAAATAAATAGACCAGGCAAGGTGACTCATGCCTATAATCACAGCACTTTGGGAGGCTGAGACAGGCAGATCACTTGAGGTCAGGAGTTTGTGACAGCCTGGCCAACATGGTGAAATCTTATCTCTATGAAAAATACAAAAATTAGCCAGGTGTGGTGGCATGTGCCTGTAAACCCAGCTACCTAGGAGGCTGAAACAGGAGAATTGCCTGAACCTGGAGGTAGAGGCTGCAGTGAGCCGAGATCGCACCACTGCACTCCAGCTTGGGCAGCACAGTGAGACCCTGTCTCAAAATAAATTAATAAATAAACGAAGCCTAAATAAATAAATAAAATAGATTAGGCATTCACAAAAGACATCGTGTACATGGATAAATTTATACTGAATGGGTTCTTCATGCCATTTAGGAAAGAAAAATGAAGAAAATACAAGACTGCGTGAATGATCATCTTGGATACCCAGCTTCCTTCTATAGTTGGTATAAAAGAGCAAGCAATTGAATTACTGAGTAGTGCTATATATGCATATAAATTATGTTAATGAAATAAAAATAAATAAAAATAAAATTTAGCTTTGATGGAAATGTCACTTATAATCCTTACAATATACAATGACCCATTTGTAGGTAAAGAATTTTAATTGTGTATTACCCTGTACATAAGAAAGAAATAAACTAAATGTCACTGCCAGAGGCCACCATAACTACAGGCTCCAGCACCGTGAGAACGCTCAGCTTGTATGGTAGAACACTGATGACCTTGGACTTTAGGTCACACAGGTGGTGGTGGTTTGAAAAAATGTCTACAAATACTTTAATACTCCTGTCTTGAAGAAGAGAGCACAATTCTCTGTCTCTTGAGTGTGAACTGGATTTAGTGATTTACTTCTAACACTCAGGAAAAAGGAAGTGGCGGCACATGATCTTAGCATCTAGGTCATCCATCCTGCAGATTCCTCCTAGTTCCCTCCCTTGGGTCACTCACACTGGGGATGTTAGCTGCCACACTGGGGGCAGCCGTACAGAGAGGTCAACATGATGAGGAACTATGGCATCCTGCTGATGGCCAGTGAGGAATGAAATACACATGCCCATAGCCATGTGAGTATGCCATCTTGGAAACACATCCTCCAGCCCTAGTCAAGTCCTCAGATGACTGCAGCCCCAGCTGACATCTTCATTTCAACTTCACGAGAGATCCTGAGCCAAAACCATCTGATATAGTTTGGATGTGTGTCCTTGCCCAAATCTCATCTTGAATGTAATCCCCAGTGTTAGAGGTGGGGCCTGGTGGGAGGTGATCAGATCACAGGGGCTGGTTTCTAATGATGGTTTAGCATCACCCCCCTTGGTAGCGTCCTGGTGATAATGAGTGAGTTCTCCTGAGATCTGGTCGTTTAAAACTATATAGCACTGGGAGTGGGGGGCAAAAAAAATGTATATAGCATGGCCCCCTCACTCTCTGCTCCTGTTCCTGCCCTGTGAGATGCCTGATTTCCCTTCACTGTCTGCCATTATTGGAAGCTTGGTGAGGCCTCTTCAGAAGCAGATGCCTGTGTTATGCTTCCTCCACAGCCTGCAAGACTGTAAGCCAGGCCAGGTGGCTCGTGCCTGTAATTCCAGCACTTTGGGAGGCCGAGGCAAATAGATCACAAGAGGCCAGGAGTTCAAGACCAGCCTGGCCAACATGGTGGAACCCTGTCTCTACTAAAAGTACAAAAATGAGTCGGGCATGGTGGTACATGCCTATAGTCCCAGGTACTTGGAAGCCTGAGGCATGAGAATCGCTTGAACCCAGAGGCAGAGGTTGCCAACATCACAACACTGCACTCCAGCCTGGTTGACAAAGCGAGATTCCCTCTCAAGGGAAAAATAAAGAACTGTGAGCCAATTAAACATTTTTTCTTTCTAAATTAACCAGTCTCAGGTATTTCTTCTTCTTCCTCCTCCTCCTCCTCCTCCTCCTCCTTCTTCCTCCTCCTCCTCCTTCTCCTCCTCCTCCTTCTCCTCCTCCTCCTCCCTCCCCCTCCCCCTCCCCCTCCCCCTCCTCCTCCTCC